AAACTGGCATAGAGACTTCTCATATAGTATTTCTTAGAGTGGGATTTCCATCCATTAAATTTTTCTTCACACAACTCCTTTTGGTAAAGAAAATGCGAACCTTCTGAGGGTAGACTCTTTAAATTACCCCGAGAAAAACAACATATGGTTTGTTTGCAATCGTGTCATTACGATATCGTGAGTAATGTTACCCCGACCTAAAACGTGATGAGGGTACATACGCTCCCCTATAGGGAAATTCTCCATGTATGGTGATGCAGCAAACGAAACGAGTTGTCAAATGGGCGAAACATGCACGAAAAGTCAGGGGAGGCACAGTTCTAATGCCAAAACAAGTCCTACACATCAAATAATCTAGAAGCCACATTGTATAAATTAACAATCGGCAAGTTATGGACAACACTCTTGCTGGAGACTGTGTGCTGTTGACACTACTAAATATGTTCAATTTTCAGCTGCTGGGTTCTCACTGTTTCTGCTGTCTTACCTTCAGTGCAAACTCTGTTACTTTTTGTCTGAAACCGAGTTTTAACTTGAAGCTTGATATATATATTTCAGATCACTCACTGGTTAGGAATTTTAATTCAGCTCAAAATCAATACACTAGTTCATACATTATACAATTATTTTCTCTTGATCCCAATGCAGATGAAACAATTGATTGACAGATCATAAAATCTACACATATATTTTTACATGGGCTTTTCATTATACTTGTTACAATGTTTATCATTTTATCAAATTAACCTCAGCATTTTGGCCTACAGGTGCGCGGCTGTGACTTACGAGCACTTCTACTATATAAGTGATGAGTCGTGTCAGGATGCTCGTAGTCCACTTTGTATTCTCAAATAACCTACTATATATGAGATATGAAGACTCTCCTGCAACCTGGATGCTCTTCTACCTTTCTTTATTGAGTCATTGTTTGCTGATACTGTCTATTTGGTATTGCCTGATTGCTTCTTTTGCTAGATAAAAAAAAAAAAGGTTGATTACAAGTTGAACCAAACAACGACCATCCGGTTCTTTCGCTTATAACTTGCTCCTTAATTAACACAGTCGATCTGTACAATACCTCTCTGCTTCTGTGCTTAAATACTTCACGTCTTGTATACCTCGAGCATACATGAGCGCGCACGCGTGCGTACATACACACACAAAGGACATGATAACGACATATAAAATACTGAGAGGAATTGATAAGAGATGGAACACAGCGCCAAGGGATAACAACAGGAAATTGAAGCCTCAGATGAGTCACAGGGATGTTAGAAAGTATTTCCTCAGTCAGAGTTGCCAGGAAATGGAACAATCTGGAGAGTGATGTAGTAGAGGGAGGATGCATACAGAGCTTTAAGAAATACAACAAAGCTCATGGAGCAGGAAAAGAGTGGACCTAGTAGTGACCAGCAGAGAGGCGGGGAGGGAACTGTGATTCGACCCCTGCAACCACAAATATAGGTAAGAACAGTAATAAAACAAGAAAGACAGGGTAGGATGGATTGCATTTTACTGTAGGGAAGCATTTTGTACATTGCCACACCAGAGAATAGTCCAAAAATTAGAAAAACAAATAGGGTGAAAAGGCAGAGTGGGTCAAGGAGCATCTAAATGACAGAAAGCAGACAGTAACAGCAAGAGATGAGACATCGTAATGTGAGAGAATAACGAGTGGGGTTCCCTGAGGATCAGTGCTAGGACCACTAATATTCCTAATATACGTGAATGACCTACAAGAAGGGATTGAGTCCTATGTGTCACTGTTTGCTGACGATATAAAACTGATGAGAGGAATAAGAACATGAGAGGACAGTGATAAATAACCTCAGAGAAACTCTACGAACTGAAGATGTGGTCAAGCAAGTGGCTTTTTGAGTTCAACCTAAGCAATTAGAGAAGGAGAAGACAGACCGGACACAAAGTACAGCAAGGAATTGGAGCTACCTTCCTCTTGAACCAAACCTTAAGATCTCCCATTCCTCAGTGGTTATTACCCCTATATTTTTTGCGCGATCTCGTAAATAATGATAATAACTCTGGAAAATATGGAATACTTTCATGAATACTGTAACTGAAGTAAATTAAGTGCAAGTTTTAATCCAAGTCAGAGGAATTGTAGACCTCTATTAGCGAAAATAATGTAGATGGCTGAGAAGACATGGACTTCTGAGAACCTCACGTTTCCTCTTGGCACCACCACTTGCTTTAGAAGCCATTGTTAACTGCCCTTTACCTAACGTATTGCAGATACATAGCCTATGGCTGCAAAGGATTTACGGATTCGCAGATCGTAGAAATGCCCTCAAAGTTAATCGATAGTATGCCGGGATCCCAAATTTGAGTGTGTATGATAAAATCCGTGACCTCCTCACGTCATCGATTGTGGTTTAGAGGGAGTTTCCCCGACCCTCAGATGCATAAACATCTCACAAGTGAGAGTGGTGTGTCAGGGTTTATAACTCCATCATTAAGCAAGGTAAGATACATCTGTGAATGATATACGTTAAGTATATCAATGACCCCAATGGAAATAAGTCACCTTGTCTGACCTTATTGGGGTTGTCCTATGCAATTTAAACATATGTAGCTATGTAAAGTAAAAGGACACAAGTGAAACTAATGTGACATTTTTATTGTGGCAACGTTTCGCTCTCCATGAGCTTTGTTAAGCCGTTACAAACAGTACATGTATGTGTATGTATGTATAATGTTCGCCAAGACCGTAGTCCTGGCACGGGTCTCAATCTTGCGATGACCCGTCTCTGGCTGCCGAGGGAGAAAGGTTTCTACAATGATGCGACGTATGCTGCTTAAGCACTCTTCTGGTCAGTTCAACTGGTGCATCTCATAAGCGACAACACCTTATGTACTCCTGTGGAAACTAGCGAGGAGGAGGATGTCGTTATCACGGGTAACAGCTTGTCTGGTTCGTTGACTCCATGGTACACTATTGTGGCCGCAGTCAACTCTGGGTCCTCTTCGGGAGGGAATATCAGTCCTAGTTGAAAAAATGAATATTGAACTTCGTCGAACATCTAATTGGGAGAAGAAATGGAGAATTACGACTAATCCTGACAAGGTCCTTGTTAGCACGATAGGATGTTTTGCATCAACCATCGAAGATAAAGGGGGTATCTCCATCAGAGGTACACCTGTAGCCATTAGAAACCCTAACAAGATCTTGGGATATGAAATAGACAGGCTGCTCCACTCAACATCTCATGTAACTAAAAAGATCAACACAGCCAAAGCCGGTCTTAGCAGACTCTTTCGATTCAATCAAGCCCCTCAAACATGTCAAAAAAACATCTGTATAAAATGATAATAAGACCTATACTTGAATACCCTTGTGTCCCAATGTCATTAACAACAAAGACCAACATGCTACGGTTACAAAGGGTCCAGAATAGAGCTCTTCGCTTTATTACCGATACCAGGAGGAGAGACAGAGTTAAAATGGCAGATTTACACACACAACAAGACATTACTGCCATAAATGTACGCATTGACACTCTAAAAAAGAAACAACTTTATACAATGCAAGAACTATACATGCCAGATAGAGAACATCCTATACAAGTGATAAATACCACCGATTACACCATCAATACTCCGCCTCACAGGACTCAAAGAATGACTCTCCCACAGAGGGTTCGTCGTTTTATTCATACAGATGATTACCCTCGACCCATGATTTTGAGTAACTTACCTGACGAAGAAGATTGGATACCACCAGAACCCTTCTATGTATACTGAGAAAATCATCGCCCCCAATTAGGGAGACATCTTAAATAACTTTCTAATGTAAAATTATGCTATTGACTATTGTTGGACACCACCATTAAGAAGCTATTGTCACGAGCTTAAATCCGGCTAGAAAATTATTGCCTTTCTTGTTGTATAAATATCCGTTGTGCAATCGCGAAAAAAAAAAAAAAAAAAAAAAAAAAAATTGCACCTTGTATAACTACTACCAATTCAGAGTCATGTAGTTATATACCAATTATATCTATGTGACTCTGATGGGTTAGTATTATACCTCTTAAAGAATATCTTATTAATTCACATACACTTTTTAATTTGCACCAAAGTGGTTGGGCCACTTACCTTTTATATCCTACCTCTCCCCCCCCTCCCACCCTTTTCCAATATTTCCATCCTTACCCATCCTTCTTCCTTACCCATCTTACCAAAGCTCTGGTCATCATCATCAGAAGAAGAAGTCCTAGTTGCCTGCGGAGTGTCTCGGTAACTTCGCACTCCAGAAGATAGTGTGTTAGGGGGCGCTGGACAACGTGCTGCAGTACTGGCACATCTCCTCCTCAGCCTTGTCTACCATCATCTTGGTTGTGGGAAAGCCCAAACGAAGCCGATGGATGGCAGTACACTGCGCTCTGGACTAGCTTCTATCATATGGAGGGGGTTCTCCCCGAGTCGCTGCTCGGGACCACTGTTGAGATGGGGTATCACCTAAGACCTCCCCAATAAGTTTCATGGCTCTGGCAACCACCAGTTTGGTCTGTCGTAGGCTGATGGGGACAGTAATCCCAACATGTGGATAGTCTGTTGCTGCCTTGGCTGCATCATCTTCCACCTCATTTCCCCGGATGCCAGCATGGCTGGGGATCCAGTTCAGTGTCGATCTGTTACCCTGAACTAGTGGTAGTAGTAGTAGTGAGATAAGGTGTAGTAGTAGTAGTAATACAATATGTTAGAACAATTAACTCGCACAAGAGTAAAAGGATATAAAAGCTATAACTTGGGTAACATAAAAATAGGTTAGACAAATATTTCTATTGGAGGCTGGATAGAGAAGGCCTGTTTCAATGTAATGTGCTAAGAGAGACTATGTGATGGCAGAGTTTACTGTTTTCAGGAGGATTCTTGCTAAGACTTCAGAGATGGTGAAGCTGCCTTTGTTTTGTTTAATTGTATTAGAAACGGCTTTTAGTGAAGATTCAAGACATTTGCGTCTGCGGAAATTGGTTTCTTTGATCACTAGTTGGGCGTCCCTGAATTTCATGAGATGAAGCTGTATAGCCCTTGTGGCTTAGCGCTTCTTTTTGATTATAATAATAATGAGATGAAATTCAGTCTTTATAGCCTTTTACTCTTTTGTGAGTTAATTGTTCTAACATATTGTATTACTACCACTACAACTTATCTCACTACTACTACTACTACTACTACTACTACCATTAGTATTGCACCTCACTCTGAGCCTATATATACCCTCTGTGTCCATGTACTGTTTGTGATGAATGGTTTGAAAAACCGACAAGCCACACTGGCTTCATCAGTCCAATACAAAGCAGAAGGTGTAAGGGGAGGAGGAGTTTGAGGTAATCAGTCCCTCAGCCTGGAGTCGATGTGTTCAGTCCATCAATCTTGTAGAATGTACAGCATAGGGCCGTAGACGTGGCTTATATACTGTAGTCAGGTGAGGTGAAGCAGGAGGAGGCGGGGTCATAGCGGTACCATCCACTAGTCGAAGTAGGCCTTCGTCCAAAGGTTGGACAAGTGTTGAAGAATTCTTTGTAACAAGATTGATGGACTGAACACATCGACTCCAGGCTGAGGGACTGATTACCTCAAACTCCTCCTCCCCTTACACCTTCTGCTTTGTATTGGACTGATGAAGCCACTGTGTGGCGAAACGTTTCCTGAATAAAGATTCCCATATGTTGCATAAGTGTCTCAATCTTCATGTACTGTTTCTAACGGCTTGACAAAGCTCCTGGAGAGCGAAACGTTGCCACAATAAAAATGTCACATTAGTTGCACTTGTGTCCTATTATACTTTACATATTGTCGGTAATTCTACCAACTTTATTACAGTATGTAACTATAACAACACTGCGACTAGCCAAGGACTCGAACCCATACTGCGTTGACTTGCCTCATGATGGGCGACAATTCATGACGCCTTTATCCACGGGACCACACAATCCTTAAGAGTAGCGCATCCAGCGGAACTGGATGTTGTACTCGCTACCCAAGGGCATACGTTGGTGTGGGTGACTCTAGGCTAATTTCATTCTAGTCCCTGTTTGGTGCACTAATACAACGAGCAGTATTTTATATTATTGTGCCCGTGGGCACAATAATATAAAATACTGCTCGTTGTACTAGTACACCAAACAGGGACTAGAACGAGTACAACATTCAGTTCCGCTGGAGGCGATACTCTTAAGGATTGTGTGGTCCCTAACAGAATACTCCATTCTACTGAATGAACAGCAATGCATGTAACCATAGGACCTGTCTTTGTAATACTCATTTGTATTTTATAGTTATCTGTTTACAATAATGTCTTATCACTGATTTCATCATTGCTTAGTTAATTTTAAGTTAATTTTAAGCCAGCCCGTAATGCTATGCATATAAGTGGCTTTGGCATGCTGCTCTTACCTGTATTTTTTGTACCTCTGTTTGTATGCTAAAATTTCTAAATAAATAAAATAAAATAAAATCATGAGGCAGGCCAAAGCAGCATGGGTTCGAGTCCTTGGTTAGTCGCAGTGTTGTTATTGATCAATATCACTTGTTCGTGGGCACAATAACATGTTACTATAAACAATAATTGTACTTCTGTAAACCTGTACCTAATAAACTCACGTAAGGTCCTTTGTGTTCCTCATCTTTTTCATTAAGGTTGTCTGTCATTACATTTATAGTGTTTATACGAATATTAATACAAAAAAAATTGTATTGCTTAAATAAAATGATTATTAATGGATTTTTTTAACAAGGATTGTATGAATTCCCCTGACATCCTATATTCAGTAACACAATGGTTCCAGACATACGGAACAACCTGTGCTATTACCTTCATTGACATATTATTTTATGTTCAAAATATTTCAATCCTAGCGGATGGTCTCGGTTAGATAACTATAAACTCCAGATGTGGGTCATCATATGACTAAGACCCGGGTCAGGAAACACTTGTCCTGTTTCCTGGCAAACCTTACCTAGCCTAATATTTCAGTTTTATAAAAAAAACATGTACCTCACTTTAATTAATGTTTTAATAGCGACACATTGTACTTGTGTTGAAGACCTGCAACCATGGTGGATGCAAGGGTGGGGCGCCGCCCCTCTGGAAATATTTTTTTTTAGTCCCTATGAAGTAAAAGCCTTGATTAGGCCTAGTCGGGAGAAAGGCTAAAACTTCTGAAATTAAATTCCGTATGCCATTCACTGTACTTTTGATTAGTTAATACGAACAGCTACTGTACCTTAGATTAGCTAATACAAGTAGCTGTTGCTGATATGGTGACATCACTCTTAAATTGTACATGTTAACCAGATATATTTCATAACTCCAGTCACTTGTGCCTCAGTGAACATAATTGGAATAATACAAAGATCGGCATAAGTTGATAATGTAGTTAAAATGACTCACGAAATCGTAATGACGCGATTGCAAACAAACCATACCACGGGTGGGGTTAGAACCCGCGGTCAGAGAGTCTCAAAACTGCAGACCGTTGGTTTTTGATTATAATAATAATGCAGATCGTTGGATTCATCCTAGTTAGATGAATCTTATTGAAGGTAGCTGGTCCAGTGGTTAACTCGACGGTCTGGAATTTTGAGACTGATCGCGGGTTCTAACCCCGCCCGTGGTCTACCTGGAGGGCATTCCGGGGATCAACGCCCCCGCAGCCCGGTCCACGACCAGGCCTCCCGGTGGATGAGGGCCTGATCAACGAGGCTGTTGCTGCTGGCCGCACGCAATCCAACGTACGAACTACAGCCCGGCTGATCCGGCACCGTCTTTAGGTATCTGGTCTGAATGCAATTAAAAAATTAGTGTTGAAGATTTGAAGGGAATCAGAAGAGGCATTCAAAAAGTCGTCATATGGAAACTAATACCCAAATTTCTTCAGCAAAAATGGAAAATTAGAATATACAATTTTTTTTCAGAGGGACCAAGAGACCAATATCCTAGAATACGCATACACAGTTAAATTCTCCAATTTGATTTTGTTTTTAATTGAAAAAATATATATACTACTGCCTTTCATGCGATAATTTCGGAAAATATAGACCAAAAAAATAAGAGGTTAAAATGACAATCTAATGGTCAAGTATGTTTATTCAGGTATACGTAAATAGTTACATAGATCATCATACATAGCAGAATATGTGTACACAGGGTGGTTGTAGTTATAACCATTATTTTTAAAGGGGTGGAGTTGGTGAGGGGCTCTTGATTTAGGGAATTGGATCTGTGCTCCAGTTCCCCGAATTAAGCCTGAATGCCTTCCACATCCCCCCCAGTGCGCTGATAAATCTTCCGGTTTAGCGCTTCCCCTTGATTATGAAATAATATATTTAAAGGGTGTGGAGGGGTAAGCTGGAAGGTCTCGGTCAGATGCCAAAACCCCCAGTTGACCTGCATCAGGAAACACTTGTCATGTTTCCTGATAAACATTACTAAGTGTCCTACTTATGTATGAAATGAACTTATTCACAAGGACAGTGTCCTGGCACGGGTCTGAATCTTTCATCGACCCGTACCCCTCAAGGAAGGTTCCTTGATGTTGGTGAGGGGCTCTTGATTTAGGGAATTGGATCTGTGCTCCAGTTCCCCGAATTAAGCCTGAATGCCTTCCACATCCCCCCCTCCAGGCGCTGTATAATCCTCCGAGTTTAGCGCTCCCCCTTGATTATAATAATAATAATAATCATCGACCAGTAATTTATAGTAAATCCTTCTTCCTGACCCAGCTTACCAAAATTATGGTCAAAATTACACTTACAAAACTGAATGCAATTCTTTTTTATAGGGTTAATTCCAAGATACACGACGCCAGATGTGAATTTCTTTTTAGAGGGAGGTCACACACGGTAATAGGCCTAGCTGGCTACACCTGCAAGCTACAAGACTGCCATCCCCACGAGCCCCTTTGGGGCAGGGCAGATGGCAGACCAGAGGCCTAGCTTCTCCCTACGAGCCCCGTGAGGGCGGGGAATGTGGCTAGGCCTGGGGACAGTTGGTCCCAAAGATGAGGGGGTACTTGTACCTCCTCCCATGGGAGACTTAGGTCTAGAGACACTCCCCAGATAGGGAGTCAAGGCCGGGTCACCACTACTTGGAAAAGACCCGGGCCGGGAGAATACCGGCGAATAAAAAAAAAAAAATTCTTTTAACATCGATACCATGCCTAACCCTTCTAGGGTAGGGTAGGTGCCTGAGCCCGAGCCTTTAGCTCATAAGACTGTCATTCCCATTAGCCCCCTTGGGGCGGGGATGGCAGACCAGAGAGGCCTAGCTTCTGGCTAGGCCTGGGGACAGTTGGTCCCAAAGATGAGGAGGTACTTGTACCTCCTCCCATGGGAGACTTAGGTCTCAGACACTCCCTAAAGAGGGAGCCAAGGCCGGGCCACCACTTGGAAAAGGCCCGGGCCGGGAGAATACCGGCTAATCTTTAATAATAATAATAATAATAATAATAATAATAATAATAATAATAATAATAATAATAATAATAATAATAATAATTTCTTTTAAATTTTGCGTAAAAAAGGAAAGTATTTATTGAAAAATTTAGTGTAAAGCATTTGTTAAAAAAATATGCTTGTAAAAATATAGAGGTTTAATTTAAAAAATATATACCAGTTATTACTCGTGAAATGAACCTCTTGCCAGTGGCTAGGTTTTGTGCTTAACAATATTTCATTACTTGTAAACTGCATTTTGTACACCACAGAAAAAAAAATAAAGTTGTATAATTGTTGTAGCGGCGGGAAGTAGTTTGTGGCGTCGGCGGCGACGACGACGACGTCAGGCAGCGACGACGACGTCAGCGGCGGCGGCGGCAGCGACGACAGTGTAACAACAACAATGGCTGCAGCAGCTGTCAGTGGTGTGGTGGTGGTGGTTTTATTGGTCGTGTTGAGCTGGTGCTCAGTGGTGCCCACCTCCCTGGAGGTTATGATGGAGGAGGAGCTGAGGCAGCGCATCTCTGATGACAGCTTCCTGGTGGTGCTCTTCAGTAAGTGTACTACAAGAGTGGCAGATGGCAGGCATGTGTGCCGCTCACCGGCACCTCCACACCACCATGCTACATGACATGAGTTCTGGACATGTCTATAGCTAGAAATAAAAATTATTACTTCTCGATACGTCCTGCTAGACGTGATTTCTGGACGTCTCCAGCTAGCCTTATGGGTTTAGCGCTTAAGTTAATTCAGCTAGACATGATTTCTGGACATGTCTCCTAGACATGATTTCTGGACATGTCTCCTAGACATGATTCCTGAACATGCTTCCTGCTAGGCACAATGCTAAGTCAGAAGTATAACCATAGGATAAAGACCATGATTTTCTTACCATCAAAATTTTTCAATTCACTAGTACTTTCAAACTATCGCATTACCTTCCCTTTCTACCTTTGAGGGGATGTCTTAATGTTGGGCAACAGCTCCGGATCCAGTGTATCATATACTGCTTGTCTCATTCCTCAGGCTCTGAGTAACCCTAATGGATTAGTAAGTAAGTAAGTAAGTTTATTCAGGTATACACAAATACAGTTACATAGAATTATCATACATAGCAGCATATGTGTAGAGAACCTGGGATAACCCAAAAAAGTCAGACAGAGTGACTTATTTCCATTGGGGTCTTTAATCTCTTAGATATAATATTATCCAGAGTTTGTAAGTTTATTTAGGTACAGATACACATAAGTACATACATAGCATGTGTAAATTACCTAAGATAACCCATAAAAGTCATTGACTAATTTCTATTGAGGTCCTTGTAATGTCTTATTTAAAACTAGGAGTAATTACAGTAGACATCAGTTGTGATTATAAACTTACAAAGTTAAGACAGCTAAGTAACTCAACTATGTGAAAATCAAGTTACAATCAAAGTAAATATAATAGGAATAATAGGAATAATGTAACTACTCTAATTGTTCTCACAGCTTTACAATCTGCCTCTACATGCTCAAGATTGGCAGTTAATTGTATGCTGCAAATATGGCTTGATTTATCTGAATTTTGTTTAGTTATGCATTATAAATTATGGAATTTAAAAAAAATCCTACAGGTTGAATGACTGAAGAATCATGCAGTCTTTGTTTATATTTTTGTATACTTTTCCTGAATGTTGTAGTTCCTTAAACCATTTTGAATAACACTGCTGACTAAATTGAAAACTTGTCATATATCTAAAGCTCATTTACCATTATGCAGGTGACAGCAGTGAATGTACTGGGAAATGCAAGGAACTGGAGGATACTCTGGCACTCATAAGAGAGGATATTGTGGAGGTGTTTAATGCTTGGGTTGTACGCAGTCACTCGCCATCCCTTGCTGAACAGTATGGCCTGAGCAGCAAGGTAAGCAACACATTACGTATATAACCCACACAGGAGAAGCAAACTAGTGATGATTTGTTCATCTTAGACCATTAATGGTCCAAGTCTGTTTCATGGAATAAATTAATGGTCCAAGTCGGAACAAAATGTCATGAGTTTCTTTCTCCTATGTGAGGGTTATTGTGTATTGTCCCGGTCACGGATTTGTGCCTTTTTATTCTTTTAAGGTAAGTAACCTTGGTGTTGATTACATTATTATGATGTTTTTAATCAAAGGCCTGGTTGCCATATTAATATTTTGTATGTGCCTCTATATCTAGTTATTTTTAATTGCTTAATTAATGTAAGTAAAAATATAAGTACTAACCTTCACATATTTTGTAATTGCATATTCTATTTCCATATTTCTAATAGTCAATTCTTACAGAAAATGGGAACAGGTGTTGTTTTCATTCGCAATGGAATCCCCTTACTGTACAGTGGCCCTGCGGATGATGATGAATTTATGTTGGACTACTTAATTTCCAACCCGGAGTCTGCAGTTCACCATTTAACTGATGGTAACTTTGAGGTAGGTACAGTAGAGAACAGAATTTTTTTTTAACAAACTGACCATATCCTACCGAGGCAGGGTGACCTAAGAAGAAAAACAAAAGTTTTCTTTTTAAATTTAGTTATTTATACAGGTGAAGGGGTTACTAACCCCTTGCTTCCGGTATTTTAATTGCCTCTTAAAACATGCATGGCTTAGAGAGGAAGAATTCTGTCCCATTTCCCCATGGAGATAAGAGGAAATAAAGAACAAGAACTATTAAGGAAATAGAAGAACACCCAAATGGATATATGGATATATGTATATACACCTACCGTCCGACTTACGACCGAGTTCAGTTCTGAGAAACCGGTCGTAAGTCGAACTTTACAACTGAATATCAACAAAAGATTTTTGTAATGGCTTTATTTTATTGTTTTATTTTGGTATTTCATGTTTTACTTTACTTTTTATGTTGTTAGTACTGTATTTTATACTGTAAGGTTTAGGATAAACACTGTACAACACAAATAGTTGTTTATTTCCCAGAAATTTGGCATAAAAAACACGGTGGTAAGTCGAGTGGTCGTAAGTCGAGTGGTCGTAAGTCAAGTGGTCGTAAGTCGAGTGGTCGTAAGTCGAGTGGTTGTAAGTCGAGTGGTCGTAAGTCGAGCAGGTCGTAAGTCGAGCAGGTCGTAAGTCGAGCAGGTCGTAAGTCGAGCAGGTCGTAAGTCGAGCAGGTCGTAAGTCGAGCAGGTCGTAAGTCGAGCAGGTCGTAAGTCGAGCAGGTCGTAAGTCGAGCAGGTCGTAAGTCGAGCAGGTTGTAAGTCGAGCAGGTTGTAAGTCGAGCAGGTTGTAAGTCGAGCAGGTCGTAAGTCGAGCAGGTCGTAAGTCGAGCAGGTCGTAAGTCGAGCAGGTCGTGTAGTCGAGCAGGTCTTTAAGTCGAGCGGGTTTCGTAAGTCGAGCAGGTCGTAAGTCGAGCAGGTCGTAAGTCGAGCAGGTCGTAAGTCGAGCAGGTCGTAAGTCGAGCAGGTCGTAAGTCGAGCAGGTCGTAAGTCGGATGGTAGGTACATACATACATACATACATTTATACATACATCATACATACATATATATATATATATTATATATATATATATATATATAAAATATATTATTATATTATATATATATATTATATATATATATGTATTGGGAAGATGGAGGGAATATTTTGAAGAATTGTTAAATGTTGATGAAGATAGGAAGCTGTGATTTCGTGTATAGGGCAAGGAGGAATAACATCTTGTAGGAGTGAGGAAGAGCCAGTTGTGAGTGTGGGGGAAGTTCGTGAGGCAGTAGGCAAAATGAAAGGGGGTAAGGCAGCCGGGATTGATGGGATAAAGATAGAAATGTTAAAAGCAGGTGGGGATATAGTTTTTGGAGTGGTTGGTGCAATTATTTAATAAATGTATGGAAGAGGGTAAGGTACCTAGGGATTGGCAGAGAGCATGCATAGTTCCTTTGTATAAAGGCAAAGGGGATAAAAGAGAGTGCAAAAATTATAGGGGGATAAGTCTGTTGAGTGTACCTGGTAAAGTGTATGGTAGAGTTATAATTGAAAGAATTAAGAGTAAGACGGAGAATAGGATAGCAGATGAACAAGGAGGCTTTAGGAAAGGTAGGGGTGTGTGGACCAGGTGTTTACAGTGAAACATATAAGTGAACAGTATTTAGATAAGGCTAAAGAGGTCTTTGTGGCATTTATGGATTTGGAAAAGGCGTATGACAGGGTGGATAGGGGGGCAATGTGGCAGATGTTGCAAGTGTATGGTGTAGGAGGTAGGTTACTGAAAGCAGTGAAGAGTTTTTACGAGGATAGTGAGGCTCAAGTTAGAGTATGTAGGAAAGAGGGAAATTTTTTCCCAGTAAAAGTAGGCCTTAGACAAGGATGTGTGATGTCACCGTGGTTGTTTAATATATTTATAGATGGGGTTGTAAGAGAAGTAAATGCGAGGGTCTTGGCAAGAGGCGTGGAGTTAAAAGATAAAGAATCACACACAAAGTGGGAGTTGTCACAGCTGCTCTTTGCTGATGACACTGTGCTCTTGGGAGATTCTGAAGAGAAGTTGCAGAGATTGGTGGATGAATTAGGTAGGGTGTGCAAAAGAAGAAAATTAAAGGTGAATACAGGAAGGAGTAAGGTTATGAGGATAACAAAAAGATTAGGTGATGAAAGATTGAATATCAGATTGGAGGGAGAGAGTATGGAGGAGGTGAACGTATTCAGATATTTGGGAGTGGACGTGTCAGCGGATGGGTCTATGAAAGATGAGGTGAATCATAGAATTGATGAGGGAAAAAGAGTGAGTGGTGCACTTAGGAGTCTGTGGAGACAAAGAACTTTGTCCTTGGAGGCAAAGAGGGGAATGTATGAGAGTATAGTTTTACCAACGAGGAGAAGGCTGGAGGCAGTGGAGATGTCATGTCTGAGGGCAATGTGTGGTGTGAATATAATGCAGAGAATTCGTAGTTTGGAAGTTAGGAGGAGGTGCGGGATTACCAAAACTGTTGTCCAGAGGGCTGAGGAAGGGTTGTTGAGGTGGTTCGGACATGTAGAGAGAATGGAGCGAAACAGAATGACTTCAAGAGTGTATCAGTCTGTAGTGGAAGGAAGGCGGGGTAGGGGTCGGCCTAGGAAAGGTTGGAGGGAGGGGGTAGAGGAGGTTTTGTGTGTGAGGGGCTTGGACTTCCAGGAGGCATGCATGAGCGTGTTTGATAGGAGTGAATGGAGACAAATGGTTTTTAATACTTGACGTGCTGTTGGAGTGTGAGCAAAGTAACATTTATGAAGGGATTCAGGGAAACCGGCAGGCCAGACTTGAGTCCTGGAGATGGGAAGTACAGTGCCTGCACTCTGAAGGAGGGGTGTTAATGTTGCAGTTTAAAAACTGTAGTGTAAAGCACCCTTCTGGCAAGACAGTGATGGAGTGAATGATGGTGAAAGTTTTTCTTTTTCGGGCCACCCTGCCTTGGTGGGAATCGGCCAGTGTGATAATAAATAAAATATATATATATATATATATATATATATATATATATATATATATATATATATATATATATTATATATATATATATATATATATTATGCAATAAGATCACAGTAAACAGGTGATTTCAGAATATGCAAAACAACCACTCTGAAAGAATAGAGAAATTCCAAGCGCTTTGTGACTACTCACATTATCAAGGAACTACGATAGTTCCTTGATAATGTGAGTAGTCACGAAAGCGCTTGGAATTTCGTTATTCTTTCAGAGTGGTTGTTTTGCATATATATATGTATATGTATATATATATATGTATATGTATATATATATATATTTTATATATATATATATATATATATATATATATTGGTAATAAGTAATACATATTTTATGAAAAAGAGGATAAATAAATATACAAGGTATGATGTAGCACGTAATGAAAGTAGTTTATTAGATTATGTATTGGTGGATAAAAGGTTGATGGGTAGGCTCCAGGATGTACATGTTTATAGAGGGGCAACTGATATATCGGATCATTATTTAGTTGTAGCTACAGTTAGAGTAAGAGGTAGATGGGAAAAGAGGAAGGTGGCAACAACAAGTAAGAGGGAGGTGAGAGTGTATAAACTAAGGGAGGAGGAAGTTCGGGTGAGATATTAGCGACTATTGGCAGAAAGGTGGGCTAGTGCAAAGATGAGTAGTGGGGGGGGGTTGAAGAGGGTTGGAATAGTTTTAAAAATGCAGTATTAGAATGTGGGGCAGAAGTTTGTGGTTATAGGAGGGTGGGGCAGGAGGAAAGAGGAGTGATTGGTGGAATGATGAAGTAAAGGGTGTGATAAAAGAGAAAAAGGTAGCTTATGAGAGGTTTTTACAAAGCAGAAGTGTTATAAGAAGAGCAGAGTATATGGAGAGTAAAAGAAAGGTAAAGAGAGTGGTGAGAGAGTGCAAAAGGAGAGCAGATGATAGAGTGGGAGAGGCACTGTCAAGAAATTTTAATGAAAATAAGAAAAAATTTTGGAGTGAGTTAAACAAGTTAAGAAAGCCTAGGGAAAATATGGATTTGTCAGTTAAAAACAGAGTAGGGAGTTAGTAGATGGGAGATGGAGGTATTGGGTAGATGGCGAGAATATTTTGAGGAACTTTTAAATGTTAGGAAGAAAGAGGCAGTAATTTCATGCACTGGTCAGGGAGGTATACATCTTTTAGGAGTGAAGAAGAGCAGAATGTAAGTGTGGGGGAGGTACGTGAGGCATTACGTAAAATGAAAGGGGGTAAAGCAGCTGGAACTGATGGGATCATGACAGAAATGTTAAAAGCAGGGGGGGATATAGTGTTGGAGTGGTTGGTACTTTTGTTTAATAAATGTATGAAAGAGGGGAAGGTACCTAGGATTGGTGAGAGAGCATGTATAGTCCTTTATATAAAGGGAAAGGGGACAAAAGAGACTGTAAAAATTATAGAGGAATAAGCTTATTGAGTATACCGGAAAAGTGTACGGTAGGGTTATAATTGAAAGGATTAGAGGTAAGACAGAATGTAGGATTGCGGATGAGCAAGGAGGTTTCAGAGTGGGTAGGGGATGTGTAGATCAAGTGTTTACATTGAAGCATATAAGTGAACAGTATTTAGATAAGGTAGGGAAGTTTTTATTGCATTTATGGATTTAGAAAAGGCATATGATAGTGGATAGAGGAGCAATGTGGCAGATGTTGCAAGTATATGGAATAGGTGGTAAATTATTAAATGCTGTAAAGAGTTTTTATAGGATAGTGAGGCTCAGGTTAGGGTGTGTAGAAGAGAGGGAGACTACTTCTCGTAAAAGTAGGTCTTAGACAGGAAGTGTAATGTCACCATGGTTGTTTAATATATTTATAGATGGGGTTGTAAAGGAAGTAAATGCTAGGGTGTTCGGGAGAGGGTGGGAATAAATTTTGGGGAATCAAATTCAAAATGGGAATTGACACAGTTACTTTTGCTGATGATACTGTGCTTTGGGAGATTCTAA